GTTATCTTTCTGATTATATTGTTCCACATATTCTAACTTGTTGCTTTGACAGTTGAATGAGGTGCCTATGCCTACTCTATTTTATAGGCCTCAATCTGGTTTCATGATTGATGTTACACGGGTTGAAGGTATGTCATTTAAAATAAAGTGCCTAAAAGTAGGAGCTTATAGTTTCTATGCATGATAAAGTTTTGAATCACTGTTTTTATGTGCAGAGTCTTAACTTATGGTTGGCTCTGTGAATCTACATTTAACACTGGTCTTATGGTTATGGTCATGGACAGTGATGATAGAGTGGGCATTCAACTATCAGGTAACTAACTTTGTCAGTGATTCATGAGTTCCAAGTCATGATCAATTGTTACATTCTTTTATGTATGTCGATGAATATGAAGTGTCTTTGGACTCTTTAAATGAAAGATCAAGTATGCTTAATACTTGTAGAGTACTAAATGATTTTGTTAGTCATCTCTCCCTCCCCCTCTATCTTTCTCTATGTCGGCACGCATATATGTTTACTAAATCCAATTGATCCAAAACTATATTTATACAAAATGTGCACATTCAAGGCTACTAATATCACTGTTAAACTTTTGGAAAATGATGGCATGTTGTTCAGGTCCCTTTATACACTTAAATTTTGTTTGCTAATTGTTTTTTATCTTTTTTAAAGTGTACTTTATTTCCTCATACTCTCTAGATGCATCGTGACTATAGTTTTTATTAGTTACATTATATACAAATTTACCTTATCAAATCAATCTAATGCACATGTCTCTCATCAATCCTTAACGCTAGACACACTAATATTATCTTTAAAAATAACACAACCCGTGCATTGCACGGGCATGCGACTAGTCCTTAATAAAAGGGAGTAAGAGAAAAGAAAAATGTTTTGATTATAGTTTGATTAAATGAATTCCATTTTAAAAACTTTCTTTAATCTCTTATTTCGGAGATTAACGCTAGAGAACTTGTGCTTGGTAACGCACTGGGTTATTAGAATTTGGGGCGTTAAATGTATAATGCTTTTTCTAGCTATAAAAGTAATACGTAAATTAAATTAGGAAATAAAAATAAAAATTAATGATGTGGACTAAGAATATTTTTACTTGTATTTATTCAAATACATGTAAATAATAATTAACAGATTGAATTAGTTTTTTTATAATTTTTATTTTACTAGAAACTTTATATTTTATTTTTTCAATTTTTTTTTTTTTACTTTTTAGAATTTTAGAATTTATTTTTTTGAAAATTTTAAATTTTTATTTGTTAGAATCATAGTTTTTTTTTTTCAAAACTTTTATATTTTTAACTTTTATTTCTCAAAACTTAATATTTTTATTTTTAAAATGTTTAAAATTATAGTTGAATAAAATCTTATTTAAACGCTTACTTTCCATGTTTTTAGTGTTTTCATAATATTAGTGTTTTCATAATTTTCACTGAAAACACTCAAAATGTCAAAAATACATTTTGACTTTTATGTTAATTTAACCTTGTTTTCCCAAAATGCAGTTTAAGAAATATTAGACCAAACACTTTATCAGTGTTTTGCAAGATTAAAAATTGAAAAATAACTCGAAAACAATAACCCAAACAAACCGTGAGTTTTTTGAAAAAATGTGAACCAAACATAGGTATTTGACCTAGCCAAATACAATTTGGCAATTTGTTCAATTTAAAAAATATTCAGTCGTCGACCAATTAATATTAGGGAAAATTAGGCTCAATACGCTGGAAACGAAAAAAATTAGATTAATGCATTAAAATGAATTAAACCTCACATAAACCGTAATTAATACGTCCTTACTAAAATCTCCAAACCTCAACACCCTCCAAAGAAACCTCTTCTCTCACGTCTCTCACCCCAACATATGATTCCAAAACCAAAGAGAAACCTCCTTCTTTGTCGTTTTTCTGTGGTCTTCATCACTCCACCATCTTTGCCATCTTCCTCTGTCTCCTCTCCAAGGACGAACCTGTAAAAGCCCCAAATTACAGAAACCTCACCTCACTCCGACTCTGACTTCTGCAAACCAGCACCAACTCTGACCTCAACTTTTGCTAATTTTCACCTGACTCAAAAAAAATGGCTGGAGAAAGTGAATTTAAGGAGTTGAAGAAAAAAGGATTAATGAAGAAGAATCTTTAGAGAAGAAAAAAAATTTATTCAAAATTTTGTAAACTTAAGGTAGCTAAGATTTTTCATTGTTTAAACCATTTTTTATGGTTTTTATTCAATTTTTAGTAATATTGTTTTAGTAATATTGTTTTTGTATTCAAATATGGTTTTTGTAATGTTGTTTGTTGAGACTGCTGGAAGAACGTTGTTTCTGGAATTCGATGTTAGCAGGGTATGTGAAATCAGGGAGATTTAGTAATGGCTCAGAGTGTGTTAGACGAAATGTCAGAGAAGGATGTTATATCTTGGAATGCAATGGTTTCATCAATACACCATCCCCTTTGGAGCGCCTCATCTCTCTCTACATATCTGCGTTTCTCTGTCTAGAAACACATTCTAAATACTCATCTATTGAACTTGGTATGCAATATATATATACTCCTTTTATCAGTTTGCTAAAAGGCAAAATCTAAATTTCTGTTCAAATCATAACTTTAGCAGATCAAAGTGTGTTCGATGAAATGCCAAAGAAGGATGTGATATCTTGGAATGAAATGGTTTCTAGTTATGCAAGGGGCAGGGATATGCATTGTTTCAACAGATGCCAAGGAATAGTTTTGCTTCCTGGAATGCTATGATCTGTGGGTACCAAGATTGCAGGAAGATAAAATTAGCATGCAGATTTTTTGATGCAGTGCCCCAGAAGTACAACGTTTCCCATATTACAGTGATTTTCGGGTACTCAAAATATTGTCCGAGTTTGGTAAACTGTTTGGTCAGTATGCAAACTGTAGGATATGTTATGATTTGAAAACCGCAAAAAATATTATTCGATTAATAGTGAAGAACGTTTATATGATTTTTTGATATTTACATCTTAGTTTAGTCATCAATTTTCATTAGTTGTGACTTGTGAGCTTACTGTAAACTTGGTTGCATTTTTTTGAATTCGTCACTTTTTTTTGAATTTTAGTTACTTTTTAATGTTTGTCACCTTCTTGATTTCTATCTCTTTTTTAAATTCACCACTTTTTTTTAGTGTTCGTCACTTTTTAAATTTGTCACTTTTTTGAAATTTTGCCACTTTTTTTTTTAAATTTTGTCACTTTTTTTTATTATTCATTACTTTTTTTAAGTCAACTTCTTGAAATTTTTATCACCTTTTCAATGGCAAACATCATTTTTTTTTTAATAAAAGTGAGATTGTATGTCATTTTTTAATAAAAAAGTGACACCAAACTTTTAAAAGTGACATTGTGTCACTTTTTTTGAGTTTTAATGTCACCTTCTAAGTTTTTGTCACTTTTTTAAATATTTGTCACTTTTTGAAGAAAATAAAAAAGTGACATAATATGTTATATTTTCCTCACATAATTAGGACATTAACAATCCACATGTTGATTATGTTAAGATCCGTCACTAAGCTCACGTGAAGTGTCATAGATATGCTGATTATATTAAGAATGTGATTAGTGGTGCTGTCCAAATGGATGGTGCTATTTTGGCGTTTCTCACTTTTTTAGTGTTCGTGTCACTTTTTTTGCGTTTGTGAAAAAAAAGTGACAATTTTTATAAAAAAGTGACATTGTGTCACTTTTTTCATTTTACACAGCATTTTTTACTTCCTAAAAACTTTTCATATGATTTTTCAAAACACCTCTAATTTTAAGGGTATTTTTGTAAGTTGCCCTTAATATTATCTGGAATTTATGCGTCTATATAAAGTACTTGCACTTTGTGCCATTATATTGTCCAAAAATATATCATTTGTTTTTATTTCACAGTTTTATTAATAAGGCAAAACTTCATAGGGGGCTCAAACTTATTTTACCTAGCTAAATACAATTTGGTAATTTGCTCAAACTAACAAATATCGAATCCCTGAGCAATTAATATTATCCGGACTCTACGATTCTACAAAAAGTACTTGCACTCCGTGCCATTAAATTTATCTAGAAATATGTCATCTTTTTTATTTCACAATTTTCTCTCTCTGACATATTATAAACTCATATTATGGTCGGTATGTTGTCCAAAAATCATCTCCGCCTATTCACCATCAGCCTATGGTCGACTATATATATTATGCAGCATGTTTTATTAATAAGGAAGGTAGAACTTCGTAGGGGGCTCAAACTTATTTGATCTAGCCAAATACGATTTGGCAATTTGTTCAAACAAACAAGTATACAGCCGCTGACCAATTAATATTGCCCTTGTTTGAGCCCCATTTTGAGGGGAAAAATGAATTTTTGAATAGTGTATTAATGTGAAATGTGTGGTTAAAAAATAAAGAAAAATTTTGGATTTACGTGTAATATTATTTTATTGAAAAATTTGTGGTTGAAATTATGTCAAAATACTGTAGAAGAATTCATTTTCTTCAAAGAATGGGGATCAAACAAGGGCATTATCCAGACTCTACGCGTTGATATAAACTACTTACACTCCGTGCCATTGATATTATCCAAAAATATATCATTTGTTTTTATTTCACATTTTACTCTCTTTGGCATACTACAAACTTGTATTATGGATCGGTATGTTGTCTAAAAATCATCTCCCCCTAATGCACCATCAGCCTGCGGTCAACTCTATATATATACACACATTGAAAACTACTATATGTAGCATGTTTTATTAATAAGGAAGGTAAAACTTCGTAGGAAGCTCAAACTTATTTGCAGTAGCCAAATACAATTTGGCAATTTGCTTAAAGTAACAAATATCCAACCGCTGACCAATTAGCATTATCCGCAATCTACGCGTCTATATGAAGTACTTGCACTCCGTGCCATTAATACTATCCAGAAATATGTCATTTGTTTTTATTTCACATTTTTCTCTCTTTGGCATACTATAAACTTGTATTATGGATCAGTATGTTGTCCAAGAATCATCTCCACCTAATGCACCATCAGCCTTCGGTCAACTACCCTCCGTTGGCATACCTCTGCCCCATGATCATGTTGGTGCTTGAGGGGAATGGTCGACTGGTCTATGCAACTGTGTTTCTGATGTTTCAAATTGTAAGTCGAAAACATTATCCCTTTTAAATAATATCTAGCATACTAAAAATACTCTTAAATACCATAAAGCCTACTAAAAAAATTCACTTTTAACAATGAAATTTTTTTGGTATGAAAGGTCATTTGTCAGTTATTTCATCAAGAAATATTTGAAAGCAAAACAAAATTGTCGCTGAAAGATAAATTTTATGTAGTATAAACCTCGTTTTCTAATATATTTCCACATTTGCAGGTTGTGTAACATTTTGGTGTTGCAAAACAATTGGTCAGATTGCTGAGATTATAGATAAAGGATCGACTTGTAAGCGAAGAGATGTTTTTCATTTCATGAGAGGATCCTATGAATGTCCAATTTTTTAATTTCTAGAACAAAAAATCTATACATTTCCTTCCATATTTTAAGAAAATAACAAAAATTTCAATCAAAGATATAATTGTTTATGAATTTTGCGTGACAGCTTGTAAAGCAAGTGCAGCAATTTACACTCTTGTAGCCTTGGTTACGGGGTGTACATGCATATACTCTCGCTTTTATCGTTCTAGGATGGGAAAGCAATACATGCTGTCAGGGGATCCGTGTGCGGATTGTTTAGTTCATTTTTGTTGCGAAAATTGTGCATTGTGCCAAGAGTATCGGGAGCTCAAAAACCGGGGATTTGACATGTCCCTTGGTAATAAACTACCCTTTTCTCTCTAGAATTTGTCTAAAAACATTGTACTATTGCGTGTGTGTTTTTGTTTCTAATGAAAGTAAACAATTTAATTTGAATATTTTTCATTTCCTCTTACAACTTTGAACCTTTTGGAAACATTTTCTCTAAATATCTAAGAAGGGATATGTCACATTTTTATTTGTATAACTATTGTATTGGTGGTTTATGTGAAAAATGTTAGGATGGCATGGAAATGTGGGGAAACAGAATCCTGCAACAATAATGGCACCAGGCGTTGATGAAGGAATGAGTAGATAAATCTGCTGCAGCCAAATGCTTTCCATCCAATTGTGTAGTCAAAGGATTATTATTATTATTATTATTATTTTTCCTTATTTTTCAACCACACATTTCATATCAATTTACTATTCTAAAATGTATTTTTACATAAAAATGCCTATCAAACACCCCCTAAAACTTATTACTCAATAAAATTTTTAGTTTGTAATTTTAGTTTCATGAATTTAGTCCCTCTGTCCCATTAAGACAAGCTTGTTTTTCTTTATTTTGATCCAAAATTATAGTCAATCTTCCCTATTGAGTATAGTTAATTTCTTAGTTTCCTAATATATTCATGTATAATGAGTTTTGTTATCAATAAATATGAACTAATATTATTTTACTGTAATTGGAATAATAAATAAAACACCAATACATGTATGTTACATCTCATGTATACATCAAATCAAATACAATTCTTGTTGAAATAATAAATAAAACACCAATACATGCACCTTTCATCTTAATCACATATATTTGGAGTACAAAAATGCTCCACCATCATCTATTATCACCATTATCTTAAACCACGAGTTAGAAACTAGAAGACCATCCACATTTCCTCAGTATTACTAAAGATACTCCTAGAACAATAGATCACGAATTGAACAAATCGGTGAGGCCATTGCATGATTCAAATGCTTCACCATAAAAGTTGATTACATTACTGCAACTCAAGAGTATTAACTTCTTGTCTCTCAAATGATGAGAATTTTTCACCCAAGTTCTACCCATTGTCTTATCTAGATTTTTTTCTACCCAAATTTATATAGCTCAAGAATATCTACTTGTTTGCTGGAATTAGGTAGTGCTATTAAGTCCAGGGGTCGATGTATTTTGTCAGATTTAAATGTAATCATTAAACAATCATTCTCAATTATATAGTCTATGATGCTACTTTTTTCTTTTTTTTAAATTTATTTATGGTGATGAAGTTTAATTTTTGTTTATAAGTCAGTTTTATTTTTAATGATATTATTGAACAGTATACTCATCCACTCCAACAAAATTGAATGCAAGCAACACCTCAGTGCTAATCTAAGCAGTCAAATTACCATCTTCCACAAAGAGCTGCCTTTGCCTCATTCCAAACTCGAGTCGTATTCAATGCAATTCGATAGCTTCCAATTTCTAATCAACTTCTATTTATTCATATGTGGAATCTTATAGCTATTACCACCAGAAACTCTCATCACTTCAACGTAGTAGTTCCCATCCATCATCTCTGTCAAGGCCTCCTTTTACCTGCCAATTACGGTGTATTTAGACAAGTAATTATTGGAGCTGGCGTATGAGGCGTGATGTAATGTTAAAAACACATTGTTTTAAATCTTCAGTAGGGAATATGTCAAAAGCTTTCTCTACAGTTAAAATAAATTCATCAATTGTAGATGAGCCTCTTGGTGTTGAAGTGTATCAATAACTCTAACGAAACCAAGATCCAAGACTTCGTATCGTACTGTTAACTGGTTGACAGCATAAATGAACGTCGATTCCATCTTTTCTCACTTCCAAAAACCTGATCTTATTAAAATCTAAATGTGGCTTTGCATTATGTTGTTGAATGAAGACGGATTCGAAATAGAAAATGGCCACTTTTCTTTGAATAAAAGTGACAATTTCTTGATTCAACATGATCGAATAACATATTTACCAAGTTGGCTTCGTCTCCAAAGTCCCTGCGCTGCCCTTTTTACTATTCAACTTGGCTGCTTCCTTAAACAAAATGTCCATATTCTGTCAAAGATCCGTGTATTTACTGTTAAAATATAAGTTGTATATTTACTTCCATTAGACATTTCATTTGTATAGGAAATTGCACATAATCAGGCTGCGTATTGCAAATAATCAGGCTGCATATCTTTCTTTCCATAGAGTCTACCATTATGCTTGTATAAATAGATGGCTGTACATTACAGAATTAATACAGAAAATCCAATTCTTTATCACTTTACATGGTATCAGAGCCTTGTGATTCTTTGCTGTGCCATCTCCTTTTTTTTTTTTTTTTTTGGATCCACCGTGTCTAACAATTCCAACAACTCTCTAGTCAATAATCCTCATGAAGGTTCTGCTACCCTCCCTACCATAGCTCAACTCATTGGTGATGTATCTTCTCCATATTTCTTACACTCCTCAGATCACCCAAGCTCCCTGCTTTTTTTCACCTTACTGACTGCTGCAAATTATCACACTTGGCGTCGCTCCATGAAGAAAGCCCTTAATGGCAAAAATAAACTTGACTTTGTGGACGGTTCACTCACCAAACCAACCAGCTCCCCTGCCGAATCTCAACTGTGGGATAGGTGCAATGACATGGTGTTCTCCTGGATCCTCAACAACATTGACAAATCTCTCCACGGTAGCTTGGTTTATTATGACAGCCCCCGTGATATTTGGACAGATCTTGAAGGGCATTTTTCTCAAAGTAACAATCCTTATATATTCCGTCTCCGACGAGATCTCTCCACTCTCCAACAAGGTGGCTCCACCATTACTGAATACTATCACCGAATCAAGTCTCTTTGGGATGAACTCGAAGCCTTATCTCCTCCTCCATCATGTTCATGTGGTGCACTAAAGGACCTTAAAGCCTCACAATCTGCTGAACATGTTTTCCAGTTTCTAACTGGTTTACATGACTCCTTTGCTGCTCTACGGACTCAAGTCTTAGAAATGGACCCACTTCCCTCTCTAATGAAGGTTTACTCCATCTTTCACCAAGAAGAAACACAGTGCCTCCTTCACATCTCTGGACCGCCTCCGGAAAGTGTAGCTTTTGCTACACGCCCCTCTTTCTCACAGCAGCGTAACCCTTCCGGTCGTGGGCGCGGTCGTCCCAAATGCACTCACTTTAGTGAAGATGGCCATTGGAAGACAACTTGCTTCCGTATTATCGGTTATCCCACCGATTGGCGTCGCCCTTGTTAAACCAATGCTAACCAGTCCGCTCAAGCCAATGCTACTCCATCCTCCAATGATATTTTGGCTCTTAGTCTCAATCCTGAACAGGAGCAACAGTTTCAGTTAACATTACCATCTACTGCAAATTTTATTGCTCTCTCCACTCACCTGAATTCTATTACTCGTCCTTGGATAATTGACACAGGTGCCTCTGACCATATGTGTTCCTCACTCGATGCCTTTACCACAATTCATCTTATCACTCATCCACGCTCAGTCACTCTCCCCAATGGTGACTTAGTAGCTATCACCCGTGTTGGTTCAGTTTCTTTATCTTCACATATCACTCTCCATCATATTCTTTATGTTCTTAACTTTCGTTACAATCTTTTATTTGTTTCACAACTTACTCAATCATTACAATGCCTTGCCCTTTTTTCCCTTCCTTTTGTGTTTTTCAGGACATCAAGACGAAGAAGCCGATTGGAGCAGGTAAAGTTCGCCATGGTCTCTATTTCTTTACTCCACCATCCAGTTTAGCTTCCGTGTCCACTTCATCTAACCACTTATGGCAACAACGTCTAGGTCATCCATCTCTTCACACTCCTAATAAGTCCTTAAATATTTTTCATTCCGTACAATCTTGTGATGTTTGTACTCCAGGCAAATTGTCAAGTTTAAAATTTCACTCTCTTATCAATAAAAGTACTTTTACATTTAATCACATATTTTGTGATATATGGGGAGATTATCCCACTGCCACTTTATCTGGTGCACATTATTTCTTAACAATCGTCGATAACTATTCTGCTACACTTGAACATATTTAATGAAATTAAATTCAGATACCTACACATGCTTCCGCCATTTTTTTGCTTATGTCCAAACTCAATTCAATTGTATGATCAAACATGTGCGCACTGATAACGGCCAAGAATTTTTAGCCCATAATCTTCAAACATTTTTCAACAATAATGGCATTCTCCATGAACATACTTGTGTTGAAACACGTCAACAAAATGGTGTTACCGAACGCAAGCACCGTCATTTACTCGACGTCGCCCGCTGCCTTCGCTTTCAACCCACCTTCCCCTCAAATTTTGGGGCTATTGCATCCTCACTGCTACCTACTTAATCAATAGAATGCCTTCCACTATCTTAATGCACAAAACACCCTATGAACTACTCCATCACACGACTCCTTCCTATGATCATTTACGTGTCCTAGGTTGTCTATGCTATGCATCTACCCTACGTCGTGATCGTGACAAATTCTCCCCTGGTGCCCGTCGGTGTGTCTTTATTGGCTATCCCTCAAATCATCATGGTTATCTTCTCTATGACTTAGACACTTTTACTACATTTATCTCCCGTGATGTCCAATTTCACGAACACATATTTCCTTTCTCCTCCCCTACTTCAACACCCTCATCCACCATTGTCATACCTACTAATATTCTTGACATTCCTCACCCACTATCAGCCAAACCTCCCTCCCATACCACCACCAAACCTGCTGCCCCGTAAGCCTCTCCTTTCCGAGATCCATCACCACCACCTCGCCCCACTCGAACTCAACACCCTCCCCCTCACCTCCATGATTACATATGTCCTATCCTTCCACATATAAATGGTTCGACTTCATCTCCACTATGGCCTTCTTCAGGTTTGTCTTACTCCCTCCATTCCTTTCTTAGCTATGAGCGATTTTCTCATAAACACCACTCTTTTCTCTCCCATATCACTAACATTGCAGATCCCACCTCATACACTGAAGTCTCACGTCATGCCCATTGGCAACAAGCAATGAACTCTGAAATCATAGCCTTAGAATCTAATGGCACTTGATCCCTCACTGCCCTTCCTCCTAGCAAACACCCTATTGGTTGCAAATGGATTTACAAAACAAAATTGAAAGCGGATGGTACTATTGAACGCTACAAAGGCCTTGTGGCTAAGGGTTACACTCAAATTGAAGGATTGGACTATCATGATACATTTGCTCCTGTTGCCAAACTTGTTACAGTCCGCTGTCTTTTGTCCATCGCCATGGCTAAAAATTGGTTCCTATACCA